CATAGTGTACCGCAGTTACTCAATTACAATTTGTATACAATACATATCATGTTAGCTCTATTATTTTCTTAATAGACCTTCACTAACGTTTTCTCTTAAGACTTGAATTGCACTGATTTTATATCAAATTTCATTCGTTGTGGAGTATGTATATAGGCCCTTCGAATGCATTACACTTCACTTAAGTGATTTAACTATAGTAAATTATCTCTGGTTTAAGTCCATTTTCAATGCGTCGATACGTTATTCATATCTTTCTAGTTTATTATAATAGCTACATGGTTACTGTAGCTTTTAGCGCAGAGGTATTGTGAGTATTCGACTCCGGTATACATTCATGCTGTGCATGCATGGTCGAAGATACTCAGATAGTTATATGTATATTATATAGCTACATATCACAGTCTCGTAAAGATACAAGCATGGACTGTGTAACCGATATAAAAACGATTTTTGCGGATAACATGTAGCGCGGCATTATATTTCAATTTATATTTACCATACCGCCAAACGAATGTTCTACAAGTGTTTATATCGCGTCTTGTCGTGCGCTATACTAAGCCGAAATTAATGAAGCTATATATGTTTTCCATAATCCAAAGCTGCAGACAAGTAAATCTTTGAAAACTATTGCCAACGATCTGAAAGCAAAATACGCTATCAGGCAGACAGTTTATGTGGTATTCATAAAGACTAGGCTTGTATTTCGCTATAATTTCAGATTTTCACGTGTTTGCCATGCAAAGACTCGTCAATCGCCATATAGTAGTTCGCATTGCAAGTATTCATAACGTTACTCTGTTTGAATTTGCTGATGAGAAATCGGTTGATTATGCGCACCCATGCTCCAAGGATTTGGGCCATTTGACATGAAGACCAACTCATCACAATTGTACTGATCTAATATGTGCTTTGACCAATTAACCGCAAAACATTATTGTCGTTTCATTAGTTTCTTGACCCATTGTACTCTCAGTCATATTTTGCACTTCTAACTTTTTTTTTCTAGGCCAGATAAGTAAATATAGCAGCTCGTGAAGCCTCCTCCGCAGGCATCGCCTTTAGATTGGCGGGCAAAATTTACTTGCAGGCAAAACAAATTGTAAAGTATGTGAACCACGAGATGTCTGCGGAGGAGGCTACAGCAAAACATATGAGTGTCTGAATTTCAGACACTCTTATGATCTTATCTAATTCTATTGCGAGTTATATGGGTGTCTGAAATTGAGACACTCTTATATTCTATTGCGAGTTATATGGGTGTCTGAATTTCAGACACTCTTATATTCTATTGCGAGTTATATGGCTGCCTGAAATTCAGACACCCATATAACTCGCGCGCAATATAATATAAGAGTGTCCGAAATTCGGACACCCGTATAGTGTGTCTGAATTTCAGACACTCATATAACTCGCAATAGAATATAACAGGGCATTTTTTAAGAATTCGTCAGTGGGGGGGGCCATCTACAAAAAGGGACCATACTATACCGAGTGTGGAGCAATCATAGATGGTTTGTTGGTAACAAAAAGTTTGGTGTGGTATCGCATTTAATAGTAGGGGGGGTGGGGAGAGCAGGGCCGTAGGAAGCTCTTTTCGTTTGGGGGGGGGCTGAAAGCGAGGGCCGAAGGCCCGAGGAAATTTTTAAATTTAGAGTCTCTGAAATGCCATTTCCTGGACTTTGGGGAAGATTTGACAGATTTCTGATTGTCAGAAAACAGCGTTTTTAGTATGTGGAAATTTAGAATTCAGTAGAACTAAATGGACGAAGGTGTATTTAATTAACGATATATTGGATAAGTTGCAAGAAAGTATGGGTAATATCTTCATTCTTTGCAGTTTGTCATGGAGAGGGTCTGGGGTTTTCTCCGCCAGAAAATTTTGTATTTTTCTACCCCTATGACTGCAATTCCCTGCATTTTCTGAAACAGATTTTTGGATATACATGCAGCATTACATTATGCTGTAGATAGACTGAACCTTCAGTTAAGTACTTGCATAGTATGTTTATGTAGATACCACAACTTGGCCGTCACTTAGGGAGCCAGCTTGATAAACTTAGAGTTCCCGACTCCCATGAAGCGCCACCATGGTTGGCACAGAGCGGAAAATTTTTGAAAATTTTGCGTCTCTAAATCATCGGAAATGGCATTTTCAAAGTCTTCTATACGTCTTTTGTTTGGCCCTTTCATTAATTCGTTCATTATGATTTGTGAGTCTATAATATCCGCGAGTCAGGATGGATTATTACGAGAAATGTTATCAAAATATCGATTACAGATATTTGATTATATGTATATATGATTTCAAATACTTCTAGTTTCGAAATCAAATTGGTTTTTTTTTGGTGGGGGCCAAAATTATCCCCCCCCCCCTTATAAAACACTTGGTTGAGGGCCTGTTGCCCCCTGCGGTCACTAACTTGTCCAACAACTCAAATCTATAGGGTCTGGGTAATGCAATCCACTGCCTGGGAAATGTTTAAAATCTAATAAGGTATTTATTAAACATAAAAGACAGGACATAAGATTCACAAAGCAAATTTCAGTTACTAGAATATCAAACCTCCCTTCTAAATTCCATGTTTGGCTTATATTTTAGAGAAAAGGGACTTTGACTGGGGGGGCCAAAATGGTTGAGTGGGGGGGCCACCATGGGGGCTGGGGGGGCTTTGGCCCCCCCAGTTATATAGTTAAAAAATGCCCTGGAATATAAGGCTCTATTGCGAGCTATATGGGTGTTTGAATTTCAGACACTCATATAACTATATCTTGCATGATCGTTTATTCAATTTCCAGCGATAGAGGAGTCTGAAATTAAGACACCCCTATATATTACACCAGTTATTCTATTGCACATGCATTTTAGCAGACAGTTCATTTTTTTTTGTTTAAAAGTTTGGTATTGTGCGGTAAAATAAACACTTATCAGAATATTCGGCGAAAATTAGCTAAAAACATTAAAAATAAGCTTTTTTCTACCAATTCCTTCGATTTTAATTGATTTTGGAAGTAGACTGAACACACTCAGCACAAATTATAGAAAAATAACAAAAATGTAAGCCAGAAGAATTGCTGTCAGCGAAAATCAAGATTATATATCAATACAATTTCGACACAAGTTCGCAGGAAATCGACTTTTTCTTTGAAATTTGGGGCAAAATTACGTTGACTTGGCAATTATACCGTATTTCGGCAGAAAAATGAGAAATTTCCGCAAAATATTGCAAATTTGAGTCAAAATTCGAAGTTTGGAATTGTTCAAAATTCTTTGGAACGCGTTATATATATATATATATATATCTATATATATATCTATATATATATCTATATATATATCTATATATATATATATATATATATATATATATATATATATATATATATATATATATATATATATATATATATATATATATATATATATATATACAGGTAATTCAATAAAGGTTGTCCTTTGAAACTTTAAACTCTTAAACCTTAAACTCTAAGCGCGCAAAGCATAATGGGAGCACAATTTAAGCAGTTTAGAAAGCATATATGGAGCCCATTTCTTGGAGACATGATAAAAATCTCCCTGCAAAAACATTTCACTGACAAACAGCTGCAATAATCAACTACTAAGCTTGAAATCAGTGCTCCCATCATGCTTTGCGCGCTTAGGGTTTAAGGTTTAAAAGTTTAAGGTTTGCGAAGGACAACCTTTATTGAATTAGCTATATATATATATATATATATATATATATATATATATATATATATATATATATATATATATATATATATATATATATACCCGATGCCACAATGGAAAGTCACACTTGCGACAAACCGAAAAACGAAAAGACCAAGGCCATTCTATGACACTGGCTGCGGCCAATGTAATTAAACGGTACATCAACCACGCCATTTCAAACGTAGTGAAGTGATTCTAACACAGAGAAGAAATATACAGAGAGGAAACACGGGGCAAATTATGTCATGCCGATATATTAAGTCACAGGGAGCCCAAGCATTGATCTGTGTCTGTGTTGTATGTTTTTCAGTTTATTTATTTTAGTGTCTTTATATTGCCTTTTAATTGAATTGTAACACTAATATGTCATATAATAATAATATTACTCTTATAGTCGAACATATAAGCCATAAAGACCTGGGATGTATCATTACCAACCACCTTACATGGGATCAACAAGTCCTCGTTGTGGTGTGCAAAGCCAACAAAATGCTTGGACTCTTACGTAGGACATGCCCCTTGCTGACCAACACGAAAGTGCGGCGTTCCTTGTACCTCTCCCTGGTGAAGTGCCACCTCGATTACGCTACCCAAGTCTGGTCCCCGACACTCACTTCACTGAAAATCAAAATTGAAAATGTTCAAAGAAGGGCAACGAGGTGAATCCTGAAGCAACGAAAAGGTGAACAGTCGTACAAGGAAAGACTGGTGACCTTGAAGTTACTGCCATTATGTTACGATCGCGCAGTAAAGGATTTGGTTTTCTTTTACAAGGCAATGCACGGGTATATAAATTTGGATATCAATAACTTTGTTTCCTTTGTAACCCACGGACATACTAGGTTAAGCGAAGCGAGAACTCTAAAGACTCCGTCCTGCAGAACAAGCACCTTCCAAGGATCGTGCTTCAACCGTATAGTCAAGCTCTGGAACAGTATTATGGTCACTTCCACTTCTCAAAATTTTTCCAGCTTATCAACGTTTAAAACGTTGGCTAAAAACACATTTAGTTTAGAGCTGAACAGAACCTTTGACGTGGACATGACGTGCACATGGAGTCTGGTGCGGGACTGCTCTTGCCATAGGTCATAGAGTAAACCAATTATTTAGAAGTAAAGCGTCCAAATAGGAATGAATGATGATGTTTCGTGCGTCATCTTAACTAATCACCCCATGCAAGAGAGTTTGACTAGCTTGATCTCCAAATCATCATTCGCTCTTGTTTGGCCGTTTTGCTACTTTCATTGTTTTCATAGTTTTATAACATATATGTATTTATAAATATCTGTTATTACTTATTAGAGAAGGGAGGTGCCTTGCATGGGACTTCTATAAAGCCTCGTTCGCACCTTCTCTTTTGGGCCAATTGATATTGAACTAATTATTTTAAAGTAATTTATGGCACCAATAGAGTTGTTAAATAAAATAAAATTATTAGCTTATATAAAAGCACCGCCTTTTGAACCTGACAACCCGTTCGCAGGATACTTCGTGGGAAACGCGCGCGATTTGAAATAAAAGGCGGGAAATAACGCGCATGTCCTGCGAACGGGTTGTCAGGTTCGAAAGGCGGTGCTTTTATATAAGCTAATAATAGATCTTAACTAAATAAACTGAAAACATACAACACAAATCAACTTATATGTTGTTATGATATGTTCGACTATAAGAGTATTGTTATTATTATATGACATATTAGTGTTATAATTCAATTAAAAGGCAATACTAAAGAAACTAAAATAAATAAACTGAAAAACATAAAACACAGACACAGATCGCGCTCCTTGTGATTAAGACCATTAACTATAGAAAATTATATTAATTCACTATTTTATTAAATTTTGATAATGCAGTGCCAGAGGAATAAAACTATACATATTGTAGAAGAATTCATGTTTTTTTATGCGAGAGTTATATAATTCGCTGCTTTGTTATTTATACATGAGCATCTGAAATTCCCAGCCAGTGCTTTTCACTATTTTAATGAGGGATAGATAGGGAGAAAACAAACTTCTGCAAAATAAAATGTTATGTTAACACTTTTAATAAAAATAAATCAATAAAAGTGATCGCTTACCGTTATTCTACAATAATTTATTGGACAAAATTTCCATGGGCATCTCATTTTTTATAAAAAGCGATTTTCACCTTTTGAACGGCGTTTTCCCTATCTTTTGCTATGAAATTTCAGTGACGGCACTGGCTGGAAAATTTTGCGTGGCGCGTGGAACGCGTGACACAAAAATTGAGGTTATCTAGTGTCAGTTTCCTCTCTGTATATTTCTCCTCTGTGATTCTAATTAACGCGCGCGCATCCAAGACGAAAGAAACTTTGCACATTAAAGAGAGTACGCCGCGTACTATCTAGTGGCTTTCCCTCCTGATCTATAGTATTTGTGCTTCTCGATTTCAATTGACTCTCTCATTTTGCGAGAGAACTTATGACTATCAATCGCCAAAATGGTTGCTTCGTCCCAATTTATACGATGGTCGTAAGTCCAAGTATGTTTAGCCACAGCAGATTTAAAGATTATCTATTGTTTTTAAATGCGTTCGGCATATGAGAAGCGCGACGTTTGAAACAGGCCTTAAATAATTGAGAGTGAGGAAAATAATCATTATAAACGTTGGTAAATTCATTCAAAAAGCCACTCAAGCCTTTGTTGGATCATCAGTACCTTCAATATTATCCCAGTTAATGACGAGAAAGACACCTACGAAATTTAACTACATTTTTAGCACTTTTGTCACGATAAATATGACGCTTTATCTTTTTCCTCAATCTTCTCATAAGACATACTAAAAATAGGTAAATGATCAAATATGTCCATCAGGACCAAGCCGGCTCTAATAACCTGTATGGTTGGTCAATGATGCAGGAACTCCCCGTAAGGGACTTTTTGTGGATGACGGAGGAAAAACTGACTAAAGAATTAGGAAAATACCTTCTTTAAGCTCATGAACAACTCGGTCTTTGGTAAGACGATCGATGGAAAATGTTCGCAACCGTGTCGATATTCGGCTAAAAACATCTGCTTAACAGTTCGAGCGGATGCTAAAAAAGGCCAACTACAAAACGACAACGATTTTCACCGAAAATCTAGCAGCTGTGCACATCTCAAGAACAGAGGTAGAGATAAAAAACCTATCTACCTGGGGATGTGTATCCTAGACACGTCGGAAACCCTGATGTACGACTGACTTTTTCTACGACTACATCAAGCCAGTGTATGGGGAAAACGTGAATTTACTAATGACAGACACGGACAGTCTGGTACTGGAAATTAGGACGGAAGACCTGTTCGCTGACATAAAAAACCGACGAGACCATATGGACTTCTTCGACTTTAGTAACTACCCCCGATCATCCGAGTGGACTGTCCAGTAATGCGGAAAGCCGATCGGAATTAAAGTCCAGCGGTGAAAAGCAGATCGCTAAATTCTGTGGGTTCCGAGCAAAGCTTATACTCCAACGGAATGGAGGATGGAAAAGAGGAGAAAAGGGCAAAGGGTGTAAATAAGGAGTACGTCGTTAAGCAGGAGTTAGCCTTCGGCGACTACTACGACTGTCTAATGAATCCGGATGAATACTTCGAAAATAATGTCATAAAAATGAATGGGCTCAGAAGTCTCGGACATATAATATACTCCGAAACGGTAAGCAAGATCGGCTTGTCAGCCGGAGACGACAAAAAGGTAATCCGAAAGGACAAAATCCACACCCTCTCCCACACACATTATATCCTTAAAAATCTAGACAATAGATGGACGCCATAGGCGGACACCTGGGGGATAAATGGGAAAAGTTCAGAAAAATTTAGGGAAGGATTTTTGGGAGGATCCCGGGAAGGATTCCGGGGCTGGCCGAAGGGACTGACTGACTGAGTGAAGGAAGGAATTTCCTGGAAAGATTTTTTGGGGAAATTTTTTTTTCCTAGGGAGGAATTTCCGGGAAAGATTTTTTGGGGAAATTTTTGGGATTTTTTGGGAAGGAAGGAAGTGGGTGTGCCCTAGAAACCCCATGTGTATACTACTTTTGTAGAAATGATTATTTATAAATTAAATAAGCAATAGTTTATAAAAATGATGATTTGTAAATAACTATGGCAGTTTTATAGAAATGATTTATTACAAATAAACGGTTTTTGTGAACTGAATGATTATTAGTATAAACAATCTCATGCGATATAATGCTTATTTGCAAACAATAGGGTATACTAGGAATTTTTTACAAACCATGAAAAAAGCGGCACGAAAAATGTGCATATATCATGTTTCGCTCGCTACTCTGGTTTAAATAAATGATTACAAAGCCCAGTCGAATTGTAATCAAGACCCAACGTTTTGACACTCCAGTCTAGTGTCTTCATCAGGGGTGATCTAAAGATGCAATCGTGGCTTCTTAAATACCCAAGGGATGACGTCACCTGCCAATGAGATGCATATATTCCTCTGGAAAATAGGCACCGTCATCCCTATTCAAAGCATGATTACTCATATTTATATGCCACGCTTCTAGGTAAAGTCTTTCACCATAGCGATTGTTTGTGGTAATTACTTTTAGAATAGTTACTTTACAGTAATTACTTTAGAGTACTTAATTAACTCTAAAGTAATTACCACAAACAATCGCTATGGTCAAAGACTTTGCATAGAAGCATGGCATATAAATATGAGTAATCATGCTTTGAATAGGGATGACGGTGCCTATTTGCCAGAGGAATATATGCATCTCATTGGCAGGTGACGTCATCCCTTGGGTATTTAAGAAGCCACGATTGCATCTTTAGATCACCCCTAGCCTGATGAAGACACTAGACTGGAGTGTCGAAACGTTGGGTCTTGATTACAATTCGACTGGGCTTAGTAATCATTTATTTAAACCAGAGTAGCGAGCGAAACATGATTGATATACCTGGTTGCAGTGAACGAACAAACTTTAAATGTGCATATATTTTTTTTTACATTTGGCGCCTCATATGCAATGACACTTTGACTATAAGGTTGTTTACTATAGTCTATACTCTATACTATGGCCTGTATTCTGAAAGCTCACTCACACTCAAAGAGTGGAGGTTCAATCTGAACTTCCCTTGGGTGTCAGTGCTGTTTTTGAATAGCTGGAGGGTTAGTGTCGTCACTGTCGTGACTACCCTCCCTCCATCTATTCAAAAACAGCACTGACACCCAAGGGAAGCTCAGATTGAACCTCCACTCTTTGATCGAGTGTGGGTAAGCTCTTAGAAAACAGGCGTATAGCACATACTACAGTCTATTTCGGAGTCATCATCAGTGAACAATGAACAAGACTATACATGATATACCGTATTTACTAAATTGAGCGCCGCATTTGAGATCAAATTTTTTTTAAAGAGCGCCGCCCCTTCTAACCGCTCCCGAATGACCGCCTCACTCATTTTTGTTGCATGCCCATATATGGGCATGCAACTTTCATATAGCTCTAAATTTCATGTCGCGTTGTACCGGCGGTGGTAAATCACGTGACAGATTCGTCATGTGATGTGAATACTTTACTATGCACGCTTTTGTGCACGGCTTTCGTCGAGGAAACGGAAAGAAAATATTGATTTTTCGTCGAAAATTTACGTAATTTAGCGCCTTAGAAAAATAGATCGAGGTAGGTAAAGCTATATTTGTTGTTATTTTGGTGCCATTGTGCTCGCACTGATTATTTATCAATTATCAGGCCTTTAATATTATATATCGTGTGAAAGGCTACGCCTTTGCCTTTCACACGATATATGACCGCTACGCTATCAAAATACTAATTTTTATATGCTCAATTCTGAAATTGAAACAAAGCCATTGTGCTAGCACTGATTATATTTTGTGCAAAACTTCAAAATTACATCACATTCTGTAAATAACATGAAATATATTTAAAAATCAAACAAAATTCTCATTAATACTATTGTCTATTGAAATTTATTACGAAATAATACGCATTGCGTACCTATTTTTTCAAATGCGGCGCTTAATCGAAGCACCGTCAGAATCGTTGAAGACGCTAATATAAGACATATAAAACAGTGTAAAAACTTTCCGCCGTCAAAATGGGGACATTTAGTGACAAAGACATTTAAAACTTGTTTATTTTATTGTTAAAAGTTCTTATTATAATTCACAAATAAAAGATCTTTTTAAAGAGCAGCATCTAAAGGTCTGAAAATTTAAAGAGCGCCGCGGCGCTCAAACGAGTAAATAGTAAATACGGTATGCCATATCAAATACATGTTGTCATACTTTATGAATGTTCATGTTTATTGCCCCTGCATTTCAAACATATAATTATAAGCTGTGTTCATTATGTATTTTAATTTTTAAAATCTAAACATAATGAAAGGCTTAGAAGTTTCAATACAAGCCGCAAAATTTGCATTGTTTATGCTGGGTATTTCGATATGAATACGGCTGTGTAGTGAAATATGACACGAACGCCCTCTGGAGTTAGATTCCGGGAATGTATGTCGCTATCCTCAATGCTATATTATGAATGTTGCTAT